TAAATGATTAATAATTATCACTCTTGAGTCTTTTTTAAAAAAAAATTTTGATATTTATTTTTGAGAGAGAGACAGAGAGAGACAGAGCCAGAGCATGAATGGGGGGAGGGGCAGAGAGAAAGAGGGAGACACAGAATCCAAAGCAGACTCCTGGCTCTGAACAGGCTGTCAGCACACAGCCCAACAGGGGGCTCACAGTCACAAACTGTGAGATCAAGACTTGAGCCGAAGGTGGATGCTTAGCTGACTGAGCCACCCAGGTGCCCTCACTCTTGAGTCTTAACTACAAGAAGAATAGGGATTTAACCAAGATTATCTGTGATTAAAGGATATTTACAAGAATTGATGTAACTAGGAGTACCTGCCCAGTCAGTTAAACGTCTGACTCTTGAATTCAGCTCAGGTCATGATCTCAAGGTTCTTGAGTTGGAGCCCCACATGGGGCTCTGAGCTGACAGCATGGAACCTGCTTGAGATTCTCCCTCTTTCTTTGCCCCTCCCCACTTCTGAAAATAAACTTATAAATAGTTGATGCAACTTATTAGTTTCACTAATTGAACAGATTTTGCTTTAATTCAGAAAAGCTGATTTTTAGAGTGTCACAATAATGTTTTGGCTTGGCAAGAATATGATCTACACAGTGGCTAAACCTGGTGATGGGTTGAAAAATTCATGAAAACAAAACACGTGGGAAATGCTACATGTTTAGAGGAGAACAGGATTGGACTTGTAACTCCAGTTTACGTTTCTGCAGTCTTCCCCCTCAACTACCCTTCCAAATAAATTAATGATAAAGCTAGAAAGAATAACAAGGGTTTTTGCTGAAATATGGATATATTTTCATTCCTCCTACTTGAATATCATGGGAAGTAAATCTGAGGCTATGAATATTAAATGTCAAGGTCTGGTTTACCATCTCATCCCTGTGTCTTGTCCCCACATTTTGGGCCACATTCAAGCTCCCATTCACATCAAAGGGCGCTTTGCCCCAAGGCAAGAAATTGATGGGTTTTAGGAACAGAATGAGGGTTTGCCCCACTGGGAATAAGTAAAGGAAAAGAAGGTTAGCTTTTGTTGAAGAAAGCAAAAAAGTCTGTCTAGAAGTTGGAATAAAAAATAAAACTTTTTCAGAAATCTTTGTTATTTGATGTAGAAACCAAGGCAATGTTTGAAGTTAACAATTTAGCAGTTTTTATTCAATGCCTTCCAGAAACAGTAGTATCTGTAAGCAGCAGTGTCCTAAGGTCTCTGTGGTCTTCTCTAAAAGTCTTTTCTTATCACAGGTCACGAAAACTTGTGATGGGAATTTAACAAAACACCCAGTGTTTAAGAAATTAAGATTTCGGGGCGCCTGGGTGGCTCAGTCGTTAAGCGTCCGACTTCGGCTCAGGTCATGATCTCGCGGTCCCTGATTTCAAGCCCCGCATAGGGCTCTGTGCTGACTGCTCAGAGCCTGGATCCTGTTTCAGATTCTGTGTCTCCCTCTCTCTCTGACCCTCCCCCGTTCATGCTCTGTCTCTCTCTGCCTCAAAAATAAATAAATGTTAAAAAAAAAGAAATTAAGATTTCATCTTAGGCTTTCCTAGTAGGGGAAAGAAAAAAAATTACTGTGTACTTCAGCAAATATGACCCTTAGGAAATTGGAAAATGACCAAAGAAATGGAAAGAAAATCCTTTTACTATATCCCACTGGAAAAGTTCTGTAAAGCTAGGGCAGAGCCAGCTTTTGACTGATTTTTGTACCAAAACTAACAAAAGCAAAAAAATCAACCACCTTAGATGAGGACAGAGGTTAGTGTCTTACACTTATGGTCCACCTTGTTTTCTATGGACTTTGCATGAGATACATTGCATTTCCTCTCAGGGAAGTCCATTGCCCTATAAGTCCCTGCCTGCCTAGCCTCTTCCCAGGAGGATGGAAGGCAGCATCTGTTGAGCTGAACTGTTTGAAATTGCTAGTAATCAGTAGTAGGCACTTTAGATATGTTATTGCTTTAATCCCTACAGTTCTGCTTTGAGGTAGGCACTACTATCCACAAGAAGCTGATAAGAAAGGAGGTCAGAGGGTAATGTAATTTGCCTACATGAGGGTCACTCGGCTTGTCTGTGTTGGACCTGGGATTCAAATAAGGTCTGACTCTGACAACAGTGATGAGTTCATCAGAGAACAAAAGTTATAAAGACATTTCTGAAACGTTTTCTTGGAGGTTCCAAATTAAAAGCAATTCACTAAGTGTGTTAAGGTGGAAAGTGGGAATCCATTCTTTCTAGACGAAAGGGGGAGAATGGGGAAGGCTAAATATAGAAGATCAAAATTCATTACTCATTGAAGGACAGAGTCAACTGTGTACAACATGCCACATATCTGGGACAAAATAAAGGCATTAATTTGCCTCTTAATGAAGAATGGCAAGAGGTAGTGTATAAATGCAATGGTATTTCGAATAAAAAAGGAAATTTAGAAACTCAAGGGAAACACAGACTCTGGATTTTTAAAAAGTCTTAGTACTCTTTATCATAAACAGTGTTAGAATACTTTAGTAGTGTCTAACAAAGCAGACCCAAATTATGATTCTAGGACTTTATTTTTGGTTAGGAAATGAATGCAATAATGAGTTTTCTAGGCACATTTACTGGCATGCAGGTGTACAGAGGTCTTACTTTTTTGCAACCTCAAATGTTTGCTCTGTTCTCTAAAAGACTTGGAGAAATTCATTCCTCTGGTTTATTATGGATAGTTCCTTCTCTGTGAGATTTAGAAAAAAGGCACTGAAGAAATACGTTTTTCTGTCTTTGAGCTGATTATGTATGTAAATAATCAGCATTCTTTGTTTGTTTGTTTGTTTGTTTGTTTTAAGAAACATTCACTGAAAAGCAAACCTTCACTATATTCCTGCATAATGGATTCAAGCCACTTAGTTGAGTAAAATGTGTTCAGTTAGTCACTCCAATAATCTAGAGGTGAGGTTAACCAGGGTCCTTGCATTTCTTGTCAGCTCTGCATGTACAGTGACAAAAAGTCACAGAAAAACTATTACTCTTCTAATTTTTAAAAGTTCAAAATTTTTTCTTTTAAAAATTTTAGTTCCCTTAAATCTACACTAGGGATATAATACACACAGCTGTGCTTTGACCAGTATAATGGTTCAAAAAGTATCTCTGAAAATATGAAAGAGTTATAACCCACTAAATAGCAAATTCTTAAATGTTGATCAAAGTAAGATTAAACCATTCTCAATGCCACAAGTGAAAAAGTGCTAGGCAAATACTGTTAACTCTCAAATATTAGTACATTGCTCTTTTGTTGTTTTGTTTTGCATTATTGATCTTCATTTTTAAAATTCCTTTCCCAGCCATTGTCTGACTTTTTAATCACCAAAAAAAGGTACTGGAGTCTTGCTTCAATGAACAAGGTGGACAGGAAAGAAACTTTGAAACTTAAATCAATCTTAGATAAGTTACAATAATGGACAGGGATGGGCTGGGATAAATGTCACTTGCCTTGGAGCAAAATTTAAGGGGGCATGAAAAAAACTCAATAATTAAAATAATATTTTGAAAATAAACAAAAATTAACACAAAAATCCATGATGAAAAAATTAAAATTAGAAATAAAGATGGGCTATTATTTATTTGTTTTTCCATCCTATATTTTTGCATAACTGGAACAGTTATTTCTAACCAGTCCATAGTTTTTAGCCAAGGTGGCCCTCATGGTGTCTGCCAGGTGGTTTATGAGGACTGACAATGGTGTGTGAACACTGTTTTGATTGTAGAACTTTTATTAACTCTTTCCACTTGGTTTAAACTATGAGAGGATATTTTGATAAATATAGAGATGCACACATAGTTTTTCTTTTGCCTCACCTCCAACATGGCTCTGCCTAGCACTGATAATGGAGTGAGTTCCAAGCAGCTGACAATTCCGAATGCATCTATTAACATTTAGGTTTGAAGATGAGTGTGTTTAATGTTCTGGGAATTTGTTTCACACACAGTTAGAGGTTATTTAATTAATTCCTAAAGAAATTAAAATGTATCCTACTTTTCGTATCAACATTTTGGAATGCCAAGGTCCATCTTACCACTGCTCTAAGCAAAGAGATATATGCCTCATCCCTAGTATAGTGGTTGACATGAATTAGCTACCAAATACATGTTAGTTCTCTGATCTTGCAAAGTCCTACAAGTAGAAAAAGACACTGGGGTCTTAATTGTTAAGGAAGAGTAGTAATAAATAGTAATCATTCAAGTTTATTACACTTAATAACCTCAAAAATTCCTCTCCTTCTCCTTCTTCTCCTTCCTCTTCCTGGTCATTTATATTTCTTTTCAAGGCTGGGAAGACCTAGGCCCCATCTCTCAAAGCCAAAATTAAGTATAACCAAATTTCTTTTCCCAGCTTCTTTCCCCTACAGGCAAAAACTAAAAAAAACATGGCATCTAAGTTCCTGTGAGTTTCTACTTTATCTCAATGTGTGAAACTTCTTGAGGTCATGTTCAGTGTCTTGAATATCATACATTTTTTTGATAAATGCATGTTGAATTAAGTGCCATGAATCTGAATTGTAGCAACAGTCTGACTACCAATTTTTGGCTTGTTTTTGCCTGGGTTACAGTGGCTGGTGGCTTTTATGTGCCTGGCTAATATCAGTCTGGAGCAGCACAATGCTTTGTATGCGGATTATCAAAAGTACCTGGAGAGAGCCAAGTCCTCAGGAAATTCAACCCATATCATGCTGTGTTGGTTCCCAGGGAGAATTTTAAAAGATTTCTAGGCAAAATAACCTTGTTGTTTGATTAGAAAGGATCGAGTTAGCCTGAATCCATCACCTAGAGGGGAAGATCTTTGCCTTACATACAGTACCAAAATTAGAGGGGAAAAAATGAAAACTTGTATATTACAAAAACACCCAAAAATACAGGGTAAGAGCAAGCTGTAATGCAATTTTTTTTTTTTTTTTTTTTTGAGTGGAAGGTTAGAGAGAAACTTACCATGCAGGTAGTTTGAAAATTTCCTACAAATCCATTCTAAGTTTCTGGTATATCCCCATTTGCTCCAGTTTGCAAATTTACCCACACTGTGAAAAAAATAACATAAATCAAAAGAATAATAATGATGGTGAGAATTTTAATCTCATTTCAGGCGGGTAGGCCACAGATTAGGGGATGGGGACTCTCAAGGCTCATAAACAACAACCTTAAGTATGCATAGCCTTAGAAACAAGTCAAGGAATAATAGCTAGATCCAGTCATGTAGAATGTTTTCATATAGTGTATTTACCTTCTAGTTTTAAGGGCAGCACAAGGAAATATGTCTAAAGGTACCATTGAAGATACTGTACTCATTGAAGAACTAATTGTTGATTATTTCTTTTTTTTTTTTTAATTTTTTTTCAACGTTTATTTATTTTTGGGGGGACAGAGAGAGACAGAGCATGAACGGGGGAGGGGCAGAGAGAGAGGGAGACACAGAATCGGAAACAGGCTCCAGGCTCTGAGCCATCAGCCCAGAGCCTGATGCGGGGCTCGAACTCACAGACCGCGAGATCGTGACCTGGCTGAAGTCGGATGCTCAACCGACTGCGCCACCCAGGCGCCCCTATTGTTGATTATTTCTACACAACCCCTCCAAATACGCATCTAGCCTCTAAGAAAACAAAAGTCAACCATATGATGCTGCTTAAAACCTAATGAGATGTTATGCAGAGAGTAGATATTTAATACATTTGAAGTTAGATTTTGAGATTGGCTATGCTTATATGTAAACCTCTTATAAGCAATGTTATGTGATTTTGAGTTTTGCTCAGTACAGAAATGTATATATATATATATATATATATATTTTTTTTCCTAGATCAAAATAATTTTTTTCTTTTTACTATGTGGTCATTTATAATCCCACTAAATATAAAATGATTTCATCAATTCACTATGTACAATATAAATAATGAATCTTTTACCATTGTTTTCTCAAGATATCCAAAATCTGAAATGAAATATTATCCTGTCTACTCACCAAAAAACAACAACAACAACAACAACAAAACCCCCAAAACCAACCAACCAAACAACCAAACAAACAAAAACCCAAAATAAAACAAAAACCAAACTACATTATAAAATAGTGTTAGTTATATAGGATAAAAATTTGGCCATGTATTATTGATCTTACGGAGGTAATCTTGCAGAGTGTAAAGCTAGTTTAGAGTGTCCTAAAACATAGAGTTATTAGAGGAAATATTTTTGATACCTTTAGTGCAGAACAATTTGACCTGGATCTTGAAAGCCAGACAGCCTAGTTTAAAAGTGATAGGTAGTGGTGTAGCTGGTATTACTGCTGCTCTAAAGGGAAAGTTTAGTAGCATTTTTCACTTGAAGTCTATTGACTGAAATGGAAGGAGGGTCTGAGAGAGAAACTGTGATAGCTAAGAATTAGTTACATTTTCTTTCAGTCTGGGTGTCTGGCAAAATAGTAGTTCTAACACCTTAATGTACAGCATTTGAAAATAGAAACTTCTAGGACTTCCTGACCCTTTTAGTGTATTCACAATAGAGGTGTCCATGTTGTGATTCCAGTGGACAAGAGGCGGTCAGCGTACTCCGGCCAGTGAGCTGCTTAATGAGAGAAGATAAATCTCTGGCTTTCACATGTTATTAAAGAAGTCTTTGAAAATACTGATGTTTAGTTTGGTTTTCAGCTGGACACTCAGAGGTGGTTAACCTCCCAGACCAATTGGAGTCATGTTGAAAATACTCTGGAATGAGTGGTTGGTTAACTGCAGGTGTTTGGCTGTGAAAGTTGAAGAAGCGCAAACATGAAGTTAGAACATTGTGACGATATGACTGGTTCTTAATGACTTGAATGGAAGCTGAGAGAAAACAACATTTATTACCAATTTATTTCCTTTTCAGAAGTGTCTCTATGATGCCAAACATCTGGATGAAAAGCAAGAAGGCTTAGAGAATCCTTTGCAAAGATTTTGTCCTCATCCATCTAGTCATTCACTTGTTCAATAAACATTTACCAGGTGTTTATTGTACACTCACCAAAGAGCTTAGCAGGGGAGGAAGTTATGTACACATACTAATATTATTATAGAACTTAGAAATTGGAGAGTGCTACAAGAGACATGTAAATAAACTATTACACCTGAGCAGATTACTCATCTATAGGAGACTCAGGGACACCTTCTGGATGAGATAGCCTTGAGCTGAACTTTAAACTGGATGTTTTTATTCTAACGTGGAGTTTAGGCTATGTAACAAACACTCTTTCAATTGCAAAGTGTAGAAAACACAAGTAAAACATGACTTCAGGTACTGGGGAGGGTAAAATCCATTAGAGCATGATGGTTTTCATTCAAGCCACATGGCTGCAATACAGCGGGAACATTTTCTATAACGTTGAGAACAGAAGTGGAGTAGTGTGCTCAGTCCAGAATGTGAGAAGAGATTGGCTTAGAAAGAGATTGGCTGGTATTTATTAAACAATAGTCTACGATGTGATGTTGTAAAGGTAAATGCAGCTGTAAAAGTCAGATGAGGACTTCAACAGCATACAGAAGTAGAAGAAGCAGGGAAGATAAAAAGGGCTTAGATTATGATTGTGACAGCGAAGTTAGAGGGGTGGATATATATTCTATTAATTAATAAATTTTTATTTTAGAGATAGAAAGCGTGAGCAGGGGAGAGAGGGCAGAGAGAGAGAGAGAGAGAGAGAGAGAGAATCTTAAGCAGGTTCCATGCTCACTGCAAAGACCAACGAGGGGGCTTGATCCCACAACCCTGGGAACATGACCTGAGCTGAAATCAAAAGCAAAGGAGCTAAAACAAAATACATATTTTATGGGAATTTTAATTCTATGCTTTTGGATTACCAACAATTCCTCATGTATACACATTGTTTTGTAAAAACTCAAAAGAACTCTGCGCCTTTTGTCTTAAGAACAGTAAGTTCTGGGGCGCCTGGGTGGCGCAGTCGGTTAAGCGTCCGACTTCAGCCAGGTCACGATCTTGCAGTCCGTGAGTTCGAGCCCCGCGTCGGGCTCTGGGCTGATGGCTCAGAGCCTGGAGCCTGTTTCCGATTCTGTGTCTCCCTCTCTCTCTGCCCCTCGCCCGTTCATGCTCTGTCTCTCTCTGTCCCCAAAATAAATAAACGTTGAAAAAAAAATTAAAAAAAAAAAAGAACAGTAAGTTCTATTTTGCCAAGTATAAGGAAGTGTAGATGCCAAGAGTTTCAAGCTTTGCTTAATATTAAGTTACAACTCATATTTGAGGAAACTTGCAAAAACCTGGCACAATGTCATCACTGGAAAACAAAAGCAGCTATAAACCAATGGATTCCTTGGTACCTAACAAAATAATCCAAAGGATAACGCACTAAATGCAGATGGAGACCAGATTCTTCAAGACTGGCAGCTGGTCCATCATAGATGTCTGGAAAAAAAAACCTTACAAATTAGGGGAAATTATTTTTTTTAATGGAACATTTCATCACAACTATATAATCATAACCACATAGTTTACATTTCTTAAATGCCAGGTGCTTTGATAAGGGCTTTGTAAACAATGCAATTTAATCCTCTCAACAGCAGTAGGAGGTAGGTGTATTGTTACAATCATTTCACTGATGAGAACTGAGCAAGAGAGATGTTAGGTAACTTCTTCCAGTTTATACAGCCAGCAAGAAGTGGGTCTGGGATTTGAACTTCAGGATCTGATGTCAGGGCCAGGTTTACAATCGGTTATTATGATACATTCCATTAGTATACAAATGTGTATTTTCTAAGGAAAGAGCATGAATAGTAATGACCAGTTAACCCCTCTCTGGTGAAAAGGACTTTTGGTATCCCTTTAGTTCAGTGTAGAAAGTTCAGTAGATTGAATTATGGAAATTTTCTTAGTTCTAACTTATTGCCTTTATACCTGTACCACTTAATCTTTTCTAGTGTCCTGACTTCTTCAATGAAACAAAAGCTAAGGATATTCTTTCCATTAAAAAAAAAAAAACCCAAACACATGCATAGAAACCATTGCTTAAAGCTTCAGAAAATGCATGGGCTCCAAGTAATTTAGGTTAAAGACTCATCTTCCCCTTCCCTTGTAGCATCTTCTTAGAAAGTTAAATTTTGGTTAATTAGCAGGATGGAGGAGTCCCCTGACCCTGCCAAAAACTTCACTTATTTATTAGATGTGTTACTTATTAGATCAACAAAACTGTAGTGCTTAATCAGTCTTGCTCTTTTCTGGATATAAAGAGAATTCGTTGACTTGAGCAGGTATTCATGGTAGAAGGTAGATATTTGAACTGAATTGGGTAATCTCATACGCCACTTGAATTTCAATGTTGCATTAAAAATTTCACTGTATAAATGTCTGAGCCCAAGTAACCAAGAGCTCCCAAACACTCCAAAGGACATTAAATGAATGACTTGAAAAAGATTAAATCTACTTTGTGTCAGTCAGTCCTTGCTTACCATAGTCCTGTCCCTGCAAGTTGTAGATGCATTCTAGCACTCCCTAAGCTGTGATGCCAAACCCCAGAATTGAGGAGCTGTCAACTTGACAAGATATTGGTAATTTTTCTTCCTCCATCAAATTGGGGTAGTGAAGCCTGACTTCAATACATAGAATTGTGACTTTTCTAAATTGCTACTGTCATCTTTATGACATCAGATCTGACCCCAGAAAAACCCAGCCTTGTTTCTGATTTTTCTCACTGCAGTCCAGGACAATTACCAGCTCCTGCATCTAGCGCACTAACTCACCCTTCACTCTTGGTCACCCCTCCTATATGGGTGACTTCTAAGTAATAATGTATCATAATCCTTGTGACTTGGTAATTAACAGCCAGGTCTTCCTTAATAAGACTTTGCCTTCACATTTCCCTTATTCCTATCTTTCTATGCCTCAGTTTCAGCTTCTACAAAGTTAGGATCATAATAATAGTTATCCATGGGATTATTAGTGAGGACTAAATGAGTTAATGCGCATGAAAAACATGGAACAGGGTCTGGCACTATCAGAATGTTGGCAGTGGCTGTTGTGAACAGGGTTGATAGTAGTTTTATTGCCCTGGCTTGAGCTCAGCCAAGAATGACAGGCGGCCAGTTCCAGCTACAGTCCATGGTAGCCTACAGTTACTAATAGCCAGTTTGAGAGGAAAAATTCAAATATATTTATTCAATAATTTCTGTGATATCCACTATGTGCCAGGCACAGTGTTATTTGCTGACAACTCCCATGACCTAATAAAATCAGAGATGCTGTGCTAAAATAATAACTGAAAGTGTCACAAAGATATATTCAGAATATAATGTGACGCATGCCTAGAAACTTGGTCAGTGGAGTGTATGGTATTCTCTGGTCTACCATGGTTGAAGCAAAGATCCCTTTCCCAGCAGGGCTCCTGCCCTGGTAACTGACAAAGCTTAGTTTCTGTTCTCTTCTCTGCTCTTCTTATTTCTGTGGGCTTCCCATGGACAACCACAGTTCCTCACCTGTTGAGAGGGGTTTAGTCATTGCTCAGACATGGTAAACAGTTATGCTAGGCTCTTCTGATCTTATGTATCACAGTTTTTGACTCTCATATTGGTTCTGTAAGTTGATTCAGCCTAATGGATTTGTTTGGTGCTTAAGTTGTGTTAGGTATTGAGGGAAAAAGGTGAATGAATATTAAGCTGTTCTTGTCCTTTGAGGAGCATTATTATTCCATGTGGAGGAGACAGACTGCAAAGTAGGGCATCTCAATATGTTAAGGAGAGTCTGAGTTCACAGGGCACCATGGCACCCATTGATGTAAGAGCTTTCCCTCCACCTCCCGCTTCTCATTACAGCACGTACCGCCCATTATGTGAAAACATGGTGTTCCTGACTCACAGTCTGTAGGAGTTGTACTCTGAGTTTTACATTCTGTTTTTTTCCAGTACTGGTAATGGGGCTGTACTGAATCATTTATTTACACTTTCTTGGCCAGTTTATTTTGACATATGACATGTATTTGCTGATGGAGAAAACACATGCAGCTTGTAAGTATGGTGCAATGTTTTTCCTTTGGAAATAGAAACAAGAGAGACCTCATTGAAGTTTTACTAGCTAAATAGTTTTCTGATGTTCCTAAATGGGTCCAAAGTAGTCCTGCAGTATCCCTTCTGTGTGTATATACATGTGTACACATGCATGTTGTGAGGGATGGGAAGGATATAATAACACCTATACAATGCACTGTTTGGATAGTATTTGGGGCGAAGGAAAACAAGTGACACATTGCTAATTTGGACCCTTTTACATGTTTCTTGCCAGACTGATTTGTCTGGACTAAGCATCTATACTTTCCTTAATCCTTAGTGTTTGCTATAAAATAATTTCTTGTTCCACGCATTTTTAAATTGGTCTGGATCTAGACTCAGTCAATATTCCACATAGTGCAGGAATTGCTCTCACTTTATTGACTGGACACTGCTCGTCTAATTGTAGAGTAGCTTACTTCCTCAGACTTACTGTGCCTGTGACTCTGGCTGAGCCAGCAGCCTCACCGGTGAGCTCAGGCCTCCCCGCACGCGGTTCTCCTGACAGGTCCTTCACCTTTCCCCAAACAGTCTCTGCCCTTATATTCTTCTGGATTTCGTCCACACTGTTTATTCCGTGTGGAATAGCCTCTCTCTTCCCTTGACTCTACCTAGAGAACATGTCCTCACTTCTCAAGACCCATCTCAGATTCCGCCTGCCTGAGATGCCTCCTCCACCTTTCTGGCACAGTGTGGGGGCTCCCTGCACTGTGTTTCCACTGCACTCTATACCCACCATGGATGCGTGTAACACCCATGACTCAGTACTGTAATGACTCATTTCTGTTTTGTTCTTTTTTTTTTTTAATCAACAAAACTTTGAGCTCCATTTGGATAGGAAACTTCAAGTCATTTGACACTTCCTGATTACCCAACACAGTGCCTGCCATATACGAGAATTTCAACTGTGAACCAGATGAGTAAACTTTATAGTAATATTTAAAGAAACATCAAGAAGAGTATTATGTGGCTCTTTTCTCTTACCCATACTCAACTGTGTCAATCATCGATTAGTCCCTCTTTGGGCTTCCTTATTCTTCTTTAATATTGATTGTCATCTTTCTTTCATGTATTTGCTTTTAGTACTGCAAAGCATTAGCACTTGATGTGTTTATAGTTGCCTGGTGGTTTGATGTATTAATATTTTAAGTACTGTTGGATTTAATAGCCTCTCTTTCTCTAAACTAGACCCACCAGTGAGATAATGCTGAATGCCTTCTCACTGCTCCTGTCTCTGAGACGCTCTAGCCGTTCAATCCTGAGTGGAACCATTTTCAAGGCAGAAGTGGCTTTTTGCTATTCTGTCTAGTAATTTAAGGAATGATTTTGAATCATATTTTCCTGCCTTAGTGGTTTATATCTTCATTTTTTTGTGACCAAAATTTATGAATAAAGATCAGGACACTTAGTTTTTCTCAATCATCTTAAACTGTCATGATCCCTGTTTCCCAGTCAGAGCAAGATTTTCTTGCAAGTTGTGATGCTCACTCCACCAACTCATTCTTGTGATGGAAGAACCTTCTACACACTGAAGGGGCTTCATGCTTTCTGTTATTGTTTTTAAAGCTAGATCTTGTCAGATACCTGCCTTTTGTTCACAGAGAAGCACTGCCATTTTCTTCCAGATATAATAGGAATGAAAAATGCCTCTCCAAACAAAAACATAAAATACTTTTCTTTACATATGCTGACAAAGAATGGAGTCTCAGAAAAGATTTCCTTTTGTGATAAATTAAACTCCAATTCATGAATCTTTAAAATTATTCCTTCCTTCCTGCTGTGGACATGAATTTCTAAAGTGTGTGTGTGTGTGTGTGTGTGTGTGTGTGTGTGTGTGTGTAGACATTAATTATTGACAGAGTGAAAAGTCGAACAAACCATGGCAAAAAATTCATCTTCATAGTAATTTATATATCCACGTCTCCTTGCTTTTCCTAATTCTGTTTCCTTATTATTTTAATGGTTTCTACCTTTACTACTAATGCATGAATGTGCCTTTGCCAACTCATCTTTTTAGTTGAAAAGTAAAAGCTATGAAATACAAACACACTTTGAAGTTAATAATAATAAGCTAGTATTTATTGAATACTTTCATGTAACCAGCACTCTAGTAAGGATTACCTCATTTTGGTCATGAATTATAATCAAAATGGAAACACTAAATGAAATCCTTAAAAGCAAAGTAGAAGCAGTACATTTATAAACCATAGAAATACCCTGATAATTTCTTTTGTCCTTACATAAGCGCAGCCCTCAGTCTGTATTTGATCTTCAGTTACCACAGACAAATTCATCTCACTCTCTTTTCTTGCTTTCATTTTAGTCAGAGAACATTAAAGAAATAGTATTTCTGGGGTACTGTGCCATTCGGGCATTCTTAGTGTATCAGTGCGTCACATACACTCAGGGGAGTTGTGAATAGTTACAGGAAATGAAACCTACAGAAATGAGGACCCATTTACGTACCTTACTGTTAACTATTTTAACTCTGAAAATAGGCAGTATTTTTTTTAGAGGTTTTTAAGTTTCCAGTATAATTAACATATAGTGTTAAATTAGTTTCAGGTGTACGATATAGTGATTCAACCATTCCATACCTTACTGAGTGCTCATCACAATAAGTGTAGTCTTAATCCCCTTCACCTGTTTCACCCATCCCCCCACCCACCTCCCTTCTCTTACCAACAAAACAAAATCAGTTTGTTCTCTATAGTTGAGCTTATTTTTTTGTTTGTCTCTTTTTTTCTTGTTCATCTGTTTTGTTTCTTAAATTCCACATATGCGTGAGATCATATGGTATTTGTCTTTCTCTGATTGACTTATTGCACTTAGCATAATACACTCAGTTCCATCCATGTTGTTGCAAATGGCAAGATTTCATTCTTTTTTATGGCTGAGTAATATTCCATTGTATGTAAATACCAGTTCTTTATCCATTCATCTATCGATGGGACACTGGGGTTGCTTCCATACTCTGGCTATTGTAAATAATGCTGGAATAAACATAGGGGTGAATATATCTTTTTGTATTAGTGTTTTCATATTCTTTGGGTAAATACCCAGTAGTGTGATTATTGGATCATAGGGTACTTCTATGTTTAATTTTTTTGAGGAAACTCCACATTTTTTTCCATAATAGCTGCACAATTTGCATTCTCACCAACAGTGCACGAGTGTTCCTTTCACTCCACATCCTCACCAACACTTTTTGTTTCTTATGTTTTTGATGTTAGCCATTCTGACAGGTGTGAGATGATATCTAATTCTAGTTTTGATTTGCGCTTCCCTGATCATGAGTAATGTTGAGAATCTTTTCATGTGTCAAAACAGGCAGTATTAAATTCGTACTTTGCTGTATTCAGTCAGTCTAATGTAGCAAGTTAATTATTTTTAATTTTTTGGTAGTAAATAATAGCAAAAGAAGAAACAAAGAGATGTAAAAATATCTTCTCTCAAGGACTTTGAGAAACCAAAGTGATCTTATACTTTAGAGAAAAAGTGATTTTACAGAGTTGGAAGTAAAACCCAGGAAGATTCAATATCCTGCCCAAAGTCACAGAACCAGTTAGCAATGAGTAAGGTGAAACCCACATCTACTGTCTCCTGTGCAATCCTCTCTTGACCACAGAGAATATCTTTTCTAGAATTTCTCCCTTTCCTTTTGATTTCCTTATCCCTTTTATTTTATTTTATTTTATTTTTTATTTTTGTAACAACATGATACTTTTTATTACTCTTTCCTCTGCTTCAAATTTGTCTTGCTGGTTTCTCTATACCCTCTTGCCTTTGCCTTCTTTTCTTGGTTTATAAAAAGTTTTACTTCCCCTGCAGAATTTCTTTGTTTTTATCCTTTTAATGATTTTAAATTACCTCTTACTTTTACTATTTTCACTCAGAGACTCCGAGAAGGGATTAGAAATTTTGAGATGTTGGATGTCAACTGTCCAAATTAAATTAGCCAAAATAACAACAACCAAAAGCCAATAATGAAGAAAAATGCTGTTTAGCCAAGTATGTTCATCTTAGGTTTGTATTTGCTATTTTTTTTTAATAGTACAGCTGTTGCAGCTGAATCCTGTATGTTGAAATTTGGATGGTTTTCATTTTGGAAGATAGTAATAAATCTGAGAGTAGAATAGTTATTCTAATAAAAATGTTTTTTTTTTAAAAAAGTACATATTTACACAGGAGAGAAAATAAATGCAGTGTTATTGGTTATTTATTGCTTTTAATTCACAATTTAGCAGCTACTTACCACACAATCTTATATTTATTCTCTGGTTATTTTATGTTGGCTCCATTTTCCAAGTAGAGTGCCATAAGACTACTGTGCCCAGTTTATATGCTAATTTTAAGTTTCAAATGTGCTTGTATTGTGTATATGCATTAAAAAAAAGACATATATCTGCTCAAATAAACTCCATTTCCTGCCTTGTCTGAATCACATGTCAGGATCAAGTTCAAATAAGAGGGCAGACACTGACCCATATGCCCCCTTGACTGAAGAAGTAGAAAGTGTTGTACACACAAAAACTGAGAAATGGTAAGATACCCTTTATCTTTCTCTTATCTCCCCATGGTGATCTCCTTTGACCTTCACCAGTGACCTGCACATGTGAGGCCTGCGATGTAACACAGTAAGGTTAAGATAGGAGAAGTATAAAGGGAGGCTTGGGAGAGACCTGTTATGAGCACAGGCACCTTGGCATTTTAGTAACTATCACCATTGCCATTAAAATGCAATGGTTTGTTCAAGCTGCCTTGAAAAAATTTTAAAAACATACAAAAACATTTAAAGGCATTTAAAAGCCTTTCATCTGTGTATGCATGTGTATTTAGTTATTTTGTTTGGCCCAAAGAGGATTAAAGAGACCAAGGGAATGTTCACTCACCGTTTCCAACTTTGCCGTTTTGCAGCAAAGTGTCATTTCTGATCACTGGTTTAGTTAAACATGTGCACAGAGCACGTAATTGTTGTCCAGGTTGATCTGAACAACACTGCTCCAAATTTCTGGCAGGAGTAATGATCAGAACACAACATTCATGAGAAATTAGACTTGGCCCACAACATACTCAGTGCACAAAGGAATCCAGGCAGTGGGTCTAGTAAAAATGAGGAAGTGGCTGTAAAAGAAATGTCACATATTCACCTCTCTTTGTATTCTTTTCGATGGTGATTTTTATAGAAATTTTATTCTGTTTCCTATCCACCTGCCTTTAATAATGTGTTTTCCCCTCTTAATTGTTCATTCAAATCTGCACTACAATTGAGTTACAGAATGAATACAGAAGCATCTAAAGGCCCTGGCTGGGAAAACAGAATTTAAAAAGATAAAGTAAATAAAGAAGACTACATTGTCTACCACTCCAGTCCAAAATGGTTTCTCCCTTCCTTGTCTTCTGTAATGTTTTAATCTGTCCTGCTATATCAGTCCTGATTGTCTGCTCTACCATATTTATGTCAGTTCAAAAGACAGAATAGTATATAATCAAATAAATTAGTTGTCTGTAAACTATCAAGTATCGCTGCATAGGCAGTGTATTTAAACTTATTTTATATGTTACTTCCGGTTCTCAATTTATGTCATAATTACTCTAAAAATTTTCTCTTACCTAGCCTCATGCTGGACAAAAGGAGGGTCTATATTATTGACTCACTTAATAATCATTAATTATAATTTTTGAAAATTATTCTCAACCACTGAAGAGCACACTGACTCAAGGCTAATATTCTTCAACGATAATCCCATTAAAGCCAGTAGCTTCTGAGAGAAACCTTCAATTGGAAAAAGAGTTTAGTTTCCTTTATTCCTAAATACATGTTTCCTTTCCCTTTTGAATAAATCAGGTAGATTTTTCCATTTGAAAATAATGATTATTTCTACATTGGTACAAAGTTCTAGATGTACCAAAAGCCTTTAATAAAAAGAAAACAATTAAAAAATTGACTCTCATGACTATTAGTAATCCATTAACAGTAATCTCCTTGAAGATAGAGACTCTCAGGTATTATTTTTGAATTGTTTTCAGCACATAACAAGTGATGTTATAGAGGCTTCATTAAGGCATGTTGAATAAATGAATAGAGAGGTTTGATACTAGGGGAGTACATCTGTGACCGGCAGACCTTGGCTGTAACTATTGCTACCAAAGGAGAATTAACAGCATGAAAGGTATCTCATGATCAAATGAAAAATAGCATGAAAATGCCTTTTAATTTAGGAGTCATACTCCTGGGCTAATCACTGAGCATGAAGTTGTCTATAAAAGGGACACTTCCTATGAAAATGATTTGTTAACATTCATTTCATGATGGAGGTTTTACCACACGATACCTAGGTTTGCTCTGATAAGGATATCCAGTTGGAATTGCTACCTTATTTATATGTTATGTTAATAAGGGAAATGTGTCTAAATTAATTGGGAAAGATAAAGCACATGCAAAGCAGAGAATGAAGAAACATCAGTGATAGAAGGAAAAAATCTGTAACCAGAGATAAAGAATTTCTTGATATTAAACCCAATAAAAAACACTTAAAAGGAAATGCACCATGTGCAAACCTCCGTCAGTTATCTGTCTCCTTTGCTGAATCCAGCTCCTTTTCCTCCTCTGTACTCGTCTCCCATGGTTTCTACTCCTCCCACAGTGTGCTCTATTTATCCCATTATTCACTGAAGCCACGGCTGGAGTTTGAGTGCAAGGCCATATTTGCAACTCTATGCAGATTTCTGTTTTAACATCCTATTTTCATTTCAAATTTAAGAACAGAACATCTGAACCCACTCACTTTAAAATAACTTTTGCCTAACTTCCTTATTTTCTTCTTCATTTAGTCACCTATTAGGGGAACTTGATCTTCTTTTATTTGCTACAACCAAATTTGCTCTGAAGCATGTATTTTTTAAAACATGTATGGAGAATTTGTAAGAAAAGGGCACATTTACAAGGGTTTTACTCCCTCGTAGCAGTAAAGCTAACCAACAGAACTAAAAAAAAGAGCAATAAAAATGATCTCTATTGACTTTTAGAAAGGTCTTAACCTCATACTACAAATCCAACAGTTATTATCAAGACACAAGTTCAATCTAATGTATACAAAACACTAGTTTCTCAACACAGTGCAGCAAGTGTCATTAAGGTGTTGCAGAAATTAAGTGAAATTCAGGTGTTGCAGAAATAAGCAAACAAATATGAAAGCCGCCAATAATGTCCACCAGTTAGAGAGGCATGGGCTATATGCATGAATAAACTGTGGGAAAGAACCGAAATATTTTGTCTTGAGCCAATTCTTCAACTGCAGCTCAGCCACAATTGAGGAAAACCTCGAGGCTAAGCAGCTTCTTACTTGATGGGCTACAATTTGGAAGCAGGTCTACTGTGAAACAAACTGCAGACAACAAATGACCAAATACTCAAGGACCTAAAATCAGAAGCACAGAATGTCCTTCTGGTTGACTTTTCATCCTGGGTAAACACACTGAAGCAGGAGAACACCTCTTCCCAGCAACACCGTATGTGCTGTTGTGGTACCAGCTGGGTCTTCAGCCAGGCTTACTGGATGTGGAGATTGAGCTCCAACAAATTTTGAGACAAACAGCAGAAAAAAATCTCTTCTGCCTAAGTCCCACCTCCCTTCCTTTGGTTCTCAGGAAAATGAATGAACATATGCCAACAACACTCAAACCTCCATGATGTTGTTTGTGAAGAGGAAGGTCTGAGGGGGTTAGAGAGATGTCTCCCACACTAGTTTAGGGAAAATAGCAGAATGGCAGATCTGTACCCCGCCAAAGGTAAGAAAATTATATGAGAGGAAGGATCATGTTGCTTTTGTCCATTAGTCTATGGCCAATACCTCTGGCAGTACCTGCTACAGAAGGGGCTCAATAAGGATTTGATTAAAAAAAATGATCATTGCAGAAGGTAGGAGTATGGATGTTGAAGTCAGAGATGGTTAGGAGACTTAGACTGGCAACTTTTTGGCTTTGTGTCTTTGGGAAAGTTATATAAATTCATGTAATAATAACACCTATCTCACTGTGGGAATTAAAAGACATAATATATTTAAAGTGTTTAGCACATGACTCTGCTGGTTATCCCAGCTTGGTCCTCCAGCTTGGCTTGCTAGTAACACTATTTTCTACTCTTACCATTTGAGGCCTACAGAGTGGTAAGGGTTCTCCACCATTGAGGATCTTTGGGCTCCTCAACATCCCTTACTGGTTTCTTTAATCCCAACCACAACACTGTAAGGTTTACTTACATGAAAGTTTCTTCAATCTTCTGAATTGGATTTTGCTTCCTGATAGTATTTTGAGTGATATAGGGCCTAGAAAAGAGTAATAATGAGAAAGGATGAACTTCTGGTGGTGGTGTTGGTAAGTGGTATTAGTAATGGTCTTAGCAGTAGTAATCAGAGTAGTAGAGCAATAAGAATAGTGGCAACTGTCATTGTTACTGTTGAAGGGCAGAAAGTCTCAAAGTATGACAGAAAAACTGCTACAGCAAACAAACACAAACAAACAATCTAAAATCTATCTTGTATTCCCTAAGAAGAGAGACAACTTTAGACAGTAACAATTTTGCATTATCAAGAAAATGAAAGAAAATGTGGAATTTTTTGATACAAGCTATTAAAAATATTGATATAGGGGCACCTGTGTGGCTCAGTTGGTTAAGCATCCAACTTTGGCTCAGGTCATGATCTGATGATTCGTGAGTTCAAGCCCCACGTCAGGCTCTGTGCTAACAGAGCCTGGAGCCCACTTCAGATTCTGTATCTTCCTCTCTCTCTGCCCCTCCCCTGCTCATGTTCTGTCTTTCTCTCTCTCAAAAATAAATAAACATTAAAAAAATTTTTTTAAGCTTTTGATATAAAATGATTAACTGATGTATTAACTAAAAATAACAGTACTAATAAAGGAAATAATGTAGAAAATTAATGTTGTTACAAAATATTAGAATAAATTTTAAACTAGAACACGTATTAGTAATCTAAGAAATAGGATCGGTAACATACTTGAGAACTTAATTTAAAAAATTCCAAAGAAGCGGTGCCTGGGTGGCTCAGTCAGTTGAGCGTCCAACTTCAGCTCAGGTCACGATCTGACAGTTCGTGGGTTTGAGCCCCCTGTTGGGCTCTGTGCTGACAGCTTGTTCAGAGCCTGGAGCCTGCTTCAGATGCTGTGTCTCCTCTCTCTAACCCCCCCCCCCCACTTGTGCTCTGTCTCTTTCTGTCTCTCAAACATAAATAAAAGTTAAAAAAAATTTTTTTTTTAGTTCCAAGGAAAAATTTTTTAAATGAGGACTGTTAAATAGATATTAGAATCCAATATGTGGATAGTTGATTTTCTGAAAAAGAGAACAGAAAGAGTATTCAAAGAAATATTAGAATAAAAATACTTTAATGAAATGGCATCGTCCTATAATTCAGAAAGTTTCATTGCCCATGAAAAAGAGAAAGAGATGAGACAGAGACAGAGAGAAAAAGGAGATAGAAAAAGGGGGAAAGGTTATCCTGGTGAATTAGTGATCTTCAGTTATGTAAAAATATTATTCATTATGCAGGCAAATAAGTAAGTTTACTTATCGGGCTTCTCATTAGAAGTTTTGGATAAAAGAAAGCAGTAGAGCAGTATTATTAAAAAGTATTGAATATAAAATTGTGAACCAAGAATTAAATATTTAATCAAGTTTTTCATATGTTAAAGCTTAGAAAAATAGACTCAATAATTTAAAAAGTCCATTTGAATATTACTCGACAATCAAAAAGAAGGAAATGTTGCCATTTGCAACAATGTGGATGGAACTAGAGTGTATAGTGCTAAGCGAAATAAGTCAGTCAGAGAAAGATAAATATCATATGACTTCACTCATATGTGGAATTGAAGAAACAAAACAGATGAACACAGGGGAAGGGAAGTAAAAATAAGATAAAAACAGAGAGGGAAACAAACCATAAGAGATTCATAAGTACAGAGAATAAACTGAAGTTTGTTTGAGGGGTGTTCGGTGGGGGGATGGACTAAATAGGTGATGGGCATTAAGGAGAGCACTTGTTGAGGATATCAATGACACAGTCACAGGGGTATAGAAAAACAAACATAGATTATATAGCAAATTACAGAAAACAAAAGAAATAAAAATAAGCTGGAGGATGTGAAACCAAATATGATTATTCAGGGGCACCTGGGTGGCTCAGTTGTTCAAGCATCTGACTCTTGATTTTGGCTCAGGTCATGATCTCACGGATCGTGGGATAGAGCCCAGAGCCCCATGTTGGTTTCTGCACTGACAGTGTCGAGCCTGCTTGGAATTTTCTCTATCTCCCTCTCTTTCTATCCTTATCCTGCTTGTATGCATATGTGCACGTGCTCTCCCGAAATAAATAAATAAAATTTTAAAAAATATGACTGTTCAGTAATAATTACAAATAAAATAGTGTTTTAGGAGGGGGCGCCTGGGTGACTCAGCTGGTGAAGCATCCGACTTCGGCTCTGAGGTCATTCATGGTCTCACAACTTGTGAGTTCGAGCCCTGCACTGGGCTCTGTGCTGACAGTCAGAGCCTGGAGCCTGCTTCAGATTCTATGTCTCCCCCCTCTCCCTGGCTCTTCTCTGACTCATGCTCTGTCTCTATCTCTCTCAAAAATGAATAGACATTTAAAAACGTTTAAAAATAGACTTTTAGGAGAAAATGATTCTATTCAAAAAACTTAAAATGATGTGCAATCCACAAAAGAGATACTGAAAATATGTGTTTCAGAAAGTTTGAAAATAAATAATGATCCAAAGAAAAATCAACAGAAAACTAGTAGGAATAATGTTAAATTCAACAACTTACTTATGATGTGCCTTGACATAGTTTTCTTCATGTTTCTTCTTCCTGGGATTCATTGAGCTTTCTGAATCTTGGGTTTGCAGTTTTCATCAAATTTGGAATTTTTTGACTATTATTTCATCAAATATTTTATTATGTTCCCCCTTTTTCCCAGGACTGAAAACATGCATCTTAGGCTGTATAATATAGACTCATACTTCACTGAGGCTCTAACTTTTGTTGTCTTTCTTTCCTCCATTTCATTTTGGTAGTTTCTATCACCTTGTCTGCAAGTTCCCCCACTTTTCTTCTGCAGTTTCTAATCTATAATCACAGTATCATTTTTCATCTCTAGAATTTTGATTTGAATGTTTTTTATATCCCTCATTCTTCTCCTCATATGTTCATATGGGGAATTTAAAAAACATGTTTTAATGCTCTTATTGAATTGTATTACTTATGTCATTTTAGGGTCTGTTCTATTGACTTCCTCCCTCCTAACTATGGAGCATATTTTGTTGCCACTTTGCATGCATGTTAAGTTTTGACTGTATGCTGGATATTGGTTCCTTTCTATCTCCTGTGCTGCATCTCTCCCTCTTTTGGTATGGGGGATTTTTTCTGGGACTCACTAAGTTACTTGGAAACAATCGATCCTTTCATAACCTGCCTTTAAAGTTTGTTAGAGCAGGTCCTGGACAGCCTTTAGTCTAGAGCTAATTTGGCTGCTGAGGCAATGCTTTCCTGAGGACTGACAGATGCTCTCTGTAGAGGAGGCCTTTCCACTTGGCTGGTGGGAGCACAAATTATGTTTGGCCCTGTGTGAGCTCTGGGGATTGTTCTGCTCATTCCTTTCCAGTGGGTCTTTCCTAAGTCTTGGGCTGTTTTCTTATACACAGGTGCATACCAACACTGAGCCAAAAACTTGGGGGATCCTTCAGCAAATCTCCCAGACCATCTCTGCATCTTCCTCCTTCTGGTTCTCTGCTGTGAACACTCTATTCATGTTGGCTTTCATGAACTGCATACTGTTTCTTCAACTCAGCAAGGCTGCTGGGCTCTGGGTTTGTCTTCTTTCTGGTACCATCCAGAAACTTGCTATAAGCTGGAGCACTCATAGGTCTAAATTCACTTGTTTTCCTTCTCTTACAAATCACTATCCTGTGTTGTTTGTTGTTCAATGTCTGAAAACTATTGCTTCACATATTAGGTATGGTTTTATAATGGTACAACATGGGAGATCAGTCCCCATTCCTGTTATTCTACCATGTACAGATGGATATGTCCTCATGCTAAAATCAGACAAATTTGAATTCAAGACAAAAAGCATTAAAATGGACAGTTATTTTTGTTACCGTTATAATCCATATGAAAGCATAATTGCCTTATACCTTTTGCACAGAATTAATTCTTTCATCTATTGCACAAATTTTGACTATCTATCATGTGCCAACACTTTTCTGTTACTGGACAATTTAAAAGGGGAGTCAATATTCCTACTCTCAAAAAGCTTCTAATGGAACACAGAAAGATATTAATAAATAAACACCTCCAGATAAAATGATCAATAGTGAATGTTGTAGAGAGAAGTAAAGTTGGGTGATATAATAAGTATCTATCAGATCAGAGCTTCCTGAGACATTGGTAATTTCACCTAAGATCCGAGTAACAAGAAGGAAACCACAATGCACAAAACAGGAAGAGGAACATTCTGGAAAGTGGGAATAGTACCCACACTCTATTTATGTGAGTGAGCTTGTCTTATCTGAGGAAGAGAGAGAAGGCCAGTGTGGCTAGAGGGTGCTGGGGAAAGGGAAGGATACGGTCACCGAGAGACAGGCTCAAGCCAAACCTGTATACTTTGTGAGCATATCAAAGTGTGCATTTATTCTATGTGGAGTTTGGATGGAAAGCCGTTGGGAGATTTTAAGCAGAGGAGCAGGGGAGTTCATTCTGACTTCCATGTGAGATTCAAGAATGGAATCAGAAGATTACTGGAGGGTTGATTTCAGTAATCTATGAAGGAGATAGCTGGCTTGGACTAGAGTAGTGTTAGTAGAGAGATTGGGAAGTGGATGGATTTGCAATTTGTATGGAGGTAGATTTAACAAGTCTTACTATTGAATTGGATGAGGAAACCCTTTTAATTTTTGGTTTGAGTAACTGACTTTGTGGTCTTACCACTTATTTATAGAGAGAAGAATGAAAGACAATCTAATTGGGGGATATAAAATAAAAACAACAACATAAAAAATGAGAAACAGAGACACACACCAAAAGAAAAACTTTAAAACACTTCAATTTTCCACTGACCAAGAAGAGAAAAGTAAAAATATAAAAAAAGACCAGGTTCGGAGTAATAGAAATATGTATTTAACCTTATATCATTTTAAAAGAGAATATACTTTTGTTCCAAGGCTCATGAGGCATTTACATAAATTATCTGTGTATTAGGCATGAAAGGAAATGTCAAAAAATTCTAATATATGGAAATAGTAGAGACCAATTTTA